CCGCTTACATTCAAAGAAGCAAAAAGGCAGGGCTGGTTTATGTATGTGACGGTTGGACACGGTTATCATAATTATCATAGTTATCATAATGCATGTCATCAGGCTCATGGTGTGCGACAGTTTTCTACAGAAGGTTTGCTGTTATTTTTAACTCTCATTACACAATCACAATCATACCAATTAACATTTGGCTAGCACGCTACTACGCTACGACAGGGGTCAAAGATTCCTCCCCATTGATCTGTGCACGCCCTCACTTCACTTGTATGGCTGGACATCAAGTAATCCTGTCTTTTGGGAGGCAACAGAAAACTCATTAGTGTCTCCTCTCGTGCATCAGGGAACACTGGAAAGCCTCAGGTGAAATTCAGTAGTCTATGGTCTGCCAATACATGAACCATTAAGAGTGCACAAATCGACTGCGTCAACACAGCAGAGATGATTTGTGTTACGAGGAGTGCATGGAGCAGAAAATGAGACTTCTACAGTCACCACGCCACTGGAACGCCGTTTTGTGAAGCCCTTTTAGCCTCTTCTCACTTCAACTTCCATTTGTAGTCTGTTGAAATATGGCCTCTAAGAGGAATCTACCCCAGACATTTTTAATTGCAGTCAGGGCATAGCAGAGGTTTATGGGGGTAATTTTGAAATTGATTTTGAATTCAGAGCCATTTTGCCACGAGGAAGAAAACTTTGTGAGACAAAGTTTTAGCATCTCAGTAACAATTTCCTGCTTCATATTTGTCAGAAGAGACAAGAGTAAGCATTAGCTGAGTGTGATGGACTAAAAGCTTGTTATTAAAAAAAACTGATAAAGGATCAATACTGTGGGACTACATGCGCTACTAATGGTTTTGTGCTTCAGCTTACAGCGGCAGGGCACAATAGGCTCATGATACCAACTACATCCTGTTAGAAAAGCCATTTTATAGCAGATATCCTGAACTGGCTAGAAAAGCTGGGGCAAAGACTGAATATGACACTAACACTTCTTTCAGTGAGTGTCTGCACAGGTGCCGTTGAAGCATGCACTCGACCCCCAAACACTTAAGAAGGGCTGCTAAGTGGCCAAGGAAAGACTAACTATGAATATGTTTAGCTGAATGCGAGTGAACCAGGTCACGGACCAGGATTACACTGTCGAATTAAACCCTTAAAAACTAAGAACTTCAAGGAGAGAAAGCCAAGTGAGAAACCCTAACCCTCAACTCCTGACTGCAAAGTTTCCAAAGACAGACCTGTTGGCTTGAAAAGATAAGAATGGTAAACCTGCTGAGCGACACGGGTACAAATTGCTCGGCTATATTACAATGTCAACTAAATGGTGATTTGAGATACCCTGCTGCAGAAACGGACGGCAGCAGTCCGGGGCCTTGAAACACGACTCCACAGGGAAAGTAGCCAGGAGACGACAGAGAGATCGTTCACAATTCAGATAGCATCTAGAAAGGTGGTTACTGATAGGCTTGTTTGTTTCCACAACATTAACTCTCCTCAACATTAACTTTGCTCTAATATTTCACTGAAAGTGTCATGTTGAGAGTGGTTTGATTTTTTTTTTTTTTTTTGTGTTCAACACAATAAACGTGATCTGAATGTGTTGCTCAGTGGACAGCGCTCTCATTATCACTACATGCTATACTCTAATATACAGTATCATGAGTAGGACTGCAACTCCAATTACTTCCTCGATTAACTGATTCATGTTTGCATCTATAAAATGTCAATTTGGCAGTTTCCCAAGATGACATATTCAAACTGCTCGTCCAACCCAACCACAGTCCAAAACCACAAGTCATTCAATTTACTACAGACAGTAAAGAAAACCTGCAAATATTCACGTCCGCGAAGCTGAAACTGATTCAATTTTATGCATTTTTAATTAAAAACATATCTTGCATTTATCAAAATAGTTACAGATTAATTTCTATTAATCAACTAGTCAATGTATTGAATCATCATTTCGGCTCTAATTATCAGTTTGACCTTATAAATTTAGTAAAAAATAAATAAATCAACAAACAAGCACACACATCAAATGAGTTTAGAAATATGACATTCCATTTTCATTAAACTTCAAGCTCACAACACTATAAACAACACTTGTGACGTAACACTGTTCAGCCCACCCTATTCTTGGAAAAGGGACATTTGCAGGCCTGAAAATTAAATGTCACTCTTGTTAGAGAAATGCCACTCTCCAGTTTATCACTTTGTCATTTTCGAGTATTGACTGCGAGGCTCGCTGTCTCTGCTGGAGGACCTGACCCTCATTTTATAGAAGCTTAAGTTTAATAATTGATAGCTAAACAGATACTGTATTATAAAGTAGGGACCTTTCTCTCTTTGAAAAGCCGCAGTGGAACCAGTCACCTTCATTTTGATAAGGCAGGCATTATTTATTTAACAGGTTTAAGGTGGACGAAAAATAAGCAGTTCTTGAGTTTGGTGGACGGCGTCAGTGTTTCACACTGAAGAAAAAAGCTGCAAGGCACCATTTGTGTTCAAGACCTCCTCCATGCCGTACTGCTGTCTCTGACATCCTTGTAATCATTCAATTTATCATGTCCCTTATCAAAAGCTCTGACAGTAAAAATGAGGCAGGATGAAAATGACAACTTGCTGTGAAAGCAGAGGAGGGGGTTGGCGGACACGCTGATGATAATGTCAGGTTATGCAAAAAACATGTTAAGCTGTCATCACTCTGACACCTTGGACTGACTCATTCACTGAGCCCGGTTTCACCCAAGTAGGAGCAAATACTAGAAGGCTGAGAGCAGGCTTCATCTCACCTCTGTGAGAGGAGATCACAGAGAAGAGTGGGCGTTGCGTTGCTGGTATTTACATGTAAACATAGGTTAATATGCATGCCACAATACAGTATGCAAACATTTACCAGACAAAGGCCCTTACAGACGCACGAGACACTATGAACCATCTAAATGCATTGATACGATGAGTAATAAAGACTTCTGTATATCTCACTCACTCTTACACTCTCAGGAGAAGAGCCTCTGAATCACTGAGATCAAACGCCTTGCAAGGCAAACTGTTTATCTTGAAGTCTCCAACTGTCTTCTGCCCTACAGAACAACTGTCTAGGGAGAAATATATCAAGATTCTTCCCAATCAAGTCATTCTCTTTCTTCACATTTTCCCCAGATGACATAAACAATAGTCATCATCTGATCAAAACTATGTTGAGAATTTCAAGTCAGAAGCAACACTCTTTAAAAGCCTCTTTTTTATTTCCTTTGCACCAGAAATGATAAAATACAAGAATGTAAAATGCAAAATGTTCAAATACTGACACTAAAGGTACCTTATGGAGTTTTTGAGCACTTGTAGCAATGTTTTTATGTGTGGATCAGCATTTTGTTTGTTTCTATACAAGAGGACGCACAAATATAGGTGGCAGTGATCCACTGATTAGCAGTTGGTGGCTGTAACTTGGCAATAAACTTCACAATGCACCAATTAAGTCCGCAAAGAAGAAAACAAGCTAGCAAGCCAGTAAACATAGACGTAAACAACACAGGATTCAAAATATTTTTTTTAAAAATTGGCTTTGCAATGTTTTGAGGAAGCACATTTTTTAGACCTCAAAGACACACACAATTTGTTTTCGTGTAAATGTATAAATGAAAATTTTGTTTGTTGACAAAACAAATCCTCAGGGCTCCTTTAATTCAGTGTTTCTGGAACGTAAACGAGAGACTTTCCCTTTTCTCTAAGCACGCAACTAGAAAATCCTGCAATGCACTTTTAAATTTCAGTGCTGCGTGTACTGAAGACTGACACGCCGAAAAATAATCAGTGTCTATGACTAAGTGAAATAGGAGTTTGACATCATCTGCACTGTTACCTGGCCACTCGCAGCCACAGTCAAGACTTTGGCAAGTCCAAAAGTTTCCACATTAGATGAGGAATTCTGAGAGGTAATGCATGCTGAAACTCAAAATGGTGTGTTGATAGGAAATCCACCTTCAGTGTGAGGTTGGGGATTGAGGACCTTTCGCAAGCCGCAACATCTTTCCATATTTGTGTGCTTTGTACGTCTTCTCTATTCCTCTGTGTTCTCCTCTTTCACTTTCTGTCTTTAGCTTAAACGGTTAATACCCAACACACATGTACACACATACATACACACACACACACACACACACACACACACACACACACACAAAGCTTCACTTGTTAGGAAACACTTTACTGATAATCAGCAGTTAAATAACCCAATTCCATTTATCACTGTGATAACAACCATGTGTGTGTTGCACCATGCAACAAGCTCATGCATGGTGTCATAGATATCAAAAGCATGAATTCATGATATCAGACCACTGACACAAACAACGAATCCCTCTCTAAAATAATACGAGACAATGTTATTCTAGGCTCTTTTCCTTCTGGCCACATGGTTTAGATGCATCATGACCACAATAACACTACCCTGCATGCTGTGGGTAAACAAATAATGTCATGTTTGCAAAATAGCAAACAAATCATGAGCGTGATGGCAATAGTGTAAATGAACATTTGGACACGATGGGTATGATGAACGTGCCCTATAGACAAGGGCGATCAGTTTGCCTATTATTTCGTCATGTTGTCTTCGATATTTATCCGTGATTCTCTCCATAGGAACAACAGATGTCAGATATAACCAGAGTCATGCTCACAGACAAATCAGCTATTCACACAAGCCATCAAACGTCCTTTTCTTATGTTTGCTGTAGAAATGAAATGGAGCTGGTGTATCAAAAGCATCAAACACGATAGGGAGAAAATGAAAGGGTCAGTTCTAGATGTGACGGTTTATGTGACAGGCACTCGAGTGGAAAGCTGCAAAGGAGAAACTACAATATGTGCAAACTTGTCAAATGCAGAACTATCCTTCAAACAGCTTTTCTTTTCTAAAGCTTCTGCCTTAAATACTGTACATGTTAAGCTCTCATAATATTTGAATGAGTCAGATGTCAGAGACAATTTTGTTTTACCTTGGCACTGGAATCCTTGTTTTCCAAACCCCCTGTGAAAACAAAGAAGTCTGAATTAAATTGTTGTTCTCTCTTTCTCTCTCTCTCTCTCTCTCTCTCTCTCTCTCTCTAATACACACAAATACACACAGTAAATCCATTCATTCATACACAGATACGTTTGTTAATTCCAGGGACAGGGTGTTGCATAATGTACACCACCACTGAGCAGGAGGACCGTTAAGCTTTCAAACTTTTACATTTCGCTTGGAGCATTCATCATCTTCCCCAACCAAAACAATAACACACATATTTAAAAAAAAAAAACACACACACAACTTTCAATTAGATTTTACGGCCCAAAGTATGTGGACAGGTCACCCATGTGTTTTCTCATAGTTTTGGCTAGGTTCTCTTAGTTCCAATAAAAGTGAGATCTTACAGCCTCAGTCTACAATGATATTTTAGACATTTGTGTACTTCATAGTCCTTCTTTTTTTTTTTCAGCATGATAACAATGCCCCTGTGCACAAAGCCTCATCCATGAGGAAATGCTTTTGTGAGCTTGCTATGGGGAACTTTACTGTGCGGCAAAGAGCCCTAACCTCCAGCCCGTCCAGCACCTCCGGCATGAATTTAAATGCCAACTGTGTGGCAGGCCTTCTCATCCAACATCAGCGCCCAACCTCACAAGTGCTCTTGAGGCTGAATGGGAGTGAAACCCTGCACCCCAAGATTCAGAAACCTTATAGAAAGTCAAACCAGAAGAGTGGAGGCTGTTGGACACTAACATATGGGTATAATGTTCAGGCGTCCACATGCTTTTGGCCATATTGTTCAACTGCTGCCAAATGTTTGACTTGTGTTTAGTCTGACTGTTTAAACAAAAAGTAATTATGAGCACAAATACACACAAATATACACACAAAATACACAGTGTATATTGAGCATACAAATATACAGTATATGCATGTATTTTAAAGTTAATGCAAAGTAAAAAGAACATTGTTTGTTTCTATTTCTCCATCTGTACCAAAAAATATCAAATCCAGAACTAAGACTGAAACTAAAACTAAAGGTGTGAGACAAATAGTGACAACTAGCCTATACCAAACACAGCCTCATGAAAATTCCCAAACCTCTGAAACATCAATGAATGAAGATGCTCTCTATTCTAATTTCTAAAGCCAAACAACAAGTTTGTGGGCTCAAGGTTTCATAACAAGCTGAGCCTGTGTTTTGTAAAAGAGGGGTGGCAGGCAGGGCACAGGTCAGGCTGTAAAACTATCAAGGTTACAGAGGCCACTAGCAATAATCTGACCTGAGATCACACTCCCACCTGCTCCAAACGTGGGTGCAGCTCTACCAAGTTGTCTACAAGTTTACTCCTCACAGTTTCACAAGAAAAACAGCACAATAACAAAACATTTACAACGCCTCAAGCTAAACTGAGGACTACAAAGAAGTGTGAGAGGTTACATTTAACAGTGTTTGATAACTTTCTGAAAGTTGAAACACTGACCTCTGAACATTGTATCGCAGACTGGGAGAGACAGAGATCTGAAAATGCTCTACGAATGGGTCCAGATATGATGCTGAGAAATTAATGTTTCGTCATACTTTCCGTACACATTTTCTCTCTATGGGCCACTAGTGGAAAGAACTGCAGCATAAAGGCAACACTGTACCTCTGCAAGTCACTGCCCACTTAAAGTGTGTTTCATCCACAGTAAATACCATGTGCGTGATGTTGAAACATTTCATTATAGAAGGTGAAGTGCTTTTCCGTATGGGCTTGCACCACGCTGCCAGTAAACTGTAGAATTTCACCCAGAATAAAAAAATCCGACCAGTCAGCAGCTGCACAAGAGTTTTTCATCAATAAATACTTTTTAAAGTTTTTCTCCCCAGTAAAACCCAGTAGCTTTGGATGGAAGGCTGGAATGGCTCAGCGACATGCCAGGAAGAGGGAACCTATTAGTCATCCAAAGACTTTAACCAGGAGGCACAGCTGCAAAGCTTTGATCAGGGAATACAACAGGAAAAGTGGACTTTTAACTGCAGGAACTGTTATCATTTGGTGTTATGTAAAGAGTGATACAAGGCCACTCTTTCAGGAATATGTTCACTTATATCTATGCTCCACTAGAGGTGTTCTCACTCATGGATCCTTGAATTATCTGGGACCACACAGTGCCTCAAAAATGAAAGTGACTACTTCAATGTCACTGTTTCTTACTGGGAATTTCCAGGATTGGAGAGTGTATATAAAATCCTGCAATCGACAAAACTAAACACAAATTTCACTCACTCCCATGCAACCAGTCTTTGTATACAATGACACGACCAACATAAACAACACCAGAACTCCTCCCATGTGGATCTGCTTAGACAGGAATCTCGACAATCCCTGCAGTAAAAATCTATCGGGAGGAGAAGTGAAGACTGTCGGACGCACATTCACTACGACTTTAGTAGCGACAAAGTGAAGAGGTTGCGGGATTAAGAAGGGAAAGTTAGCCTAAAGTTGTGTTACATCACCGAACAGTGTGTCGGCTACTCGACTGAAGTTATCCAACATGCAACAGGCAGCAGGCAGCAGTCAAGGGGGTGGTGGAGATGGGACACGGAAGGCTTACCAGATGAAGTCGGTGCAGTGGCTGCAGAAAGTCGGCTGCCTGAAGAACCTGGCAATGAACTTGTGGTTCTTGACTTCGTGGACGTTTTTTTGCCTCAAAGCACCTTTGCGAGCAAACCTGTTCGCTACGTCCGCGGTGGACGACTCGTTTGAACTCACATCAGCCATGTCCCCCTAAAAAAAAACACTCACTCACACACAAACCAATGCTACAGCTGTGCCTTTGCTGTCTTCAAGTGTCTTTCAGTCCGTTTAGACGCGCAGCTCTCAGTGTGGAGCCAGCAGGAGTGCGGAGCGGCGGTCTTCACTGGAGACACCCTACTTACTGTGTGAGGGCTTTCCCTGCCTGTCGATACCACTGGGCTGCTCCACTGACAGCTCTGCGCGCCGTCAAGGTACACGCAGTGAAATAACACCACGTCCGGCCCCACCTTCAAAGTAAAACCTGTTTTTTTTTCTTTGCCTTTTTTTTTTTTTTCAGTCAGATGTTGAAGAGGCTGTTTTCTACTAACACATATATACAGTAATTGCCCACATTCTTACCACGGTTTGAATGACAATTGTTTGCTGTCTAATAAGTCCGATCAATACAGGTTTATATGCACTGCTGTGGCTGAGATGTCACAAATCCAATCCTGAGGCCATGATTACAGCTCCCACTGCACAGCAACATTTTTGAAGATTGATGAATGTGTTTTTTAATAGCACAAATAATTAGACTGTTTTTCAGGAGGACGTGGGGACCCGGAGGACGAGAAGATTAGATTGTTTTGTCTATTTCAAGCGTGAAAAGTAAAAGCAGGAGCACTTGTTATTTGAAGTTACATAAAGCAAGTTACAAACTATACTCAGATCATTAGAAACCTTTTTCAAACTACTGCAAGTTAATACAATTATTCAGTTTTAATGTAATGTTTAACTTGTGTTGAAACTGTGGCAACTGTGTTTGAGTGCCCACCCCAGTTATAGCTACTGTCCAGTGAGGGTAACCTATTAGAAAAACCTCCCAGTATAACGCAGTACACTTCAACAGCACCACACTACAAATGGATAAATTGAGTCAACAACGTTCTAAAACTGATTCAGCCAGCTGAATTATATAAACTGCATTAAGATGGGAATTATTGCAGGGCTGCTGGACCACATTAATTTTACCGAGATGTAGGCTATTTCATAAACTGGCAGCTGATTGTGTAACTGGGTTATAATTTGAAAATCCTCAAAGTGTCATTTAAAAAAAGAAAAAGCCCTTGGTGTTCTCAGTGTAGCACTGTATCCGTGCGGCCTTTAATCTCCGTCACTGTCACAAAGAGATTCACTATGCCCTTGTTGTCAAAAAAAATACATGAAAGCAAAACCAACCCACCGACCTTTTAAATCATCAAAAAGAACCCATGAAACCTTTATACATATTCAGTTTTCTACTGTTAAACACTGAACATTGTGGATTTATTGGTTCCTCAGAGAAGCTCAACTGAAAAGTACATAATGATTCATCTCAAAGTTAGCCAGACTCCTGCTATTCTTTGGGTTTACAGGGTCTTTTGTGTTGTGTTTTTATCAAGTCAGTGAGAAAGGTAAGAGCATACAGGCCTACAACTATGTACTGGATGTAAAATCTAAAGTTGAGTTTACATTACCCAAATAAATTTTGTATCCAATTTTAGTTTCAAGCCTGTGGAGTTACTAATCAAACAATACCCCTTTTTCTTTTCTTTTAAAGTTCTGTAATCCCTTATAGCTATGGCTCAATTGTCCAAAAGGCTCTGATATTAATTCTATTTTGAAGACAAACTTCCTGATCGTGGTCTATGTACCTTTGTGTAACTTGACGCTTCTGCGCTCCACTTCCACCCCGTCTCTCCGGTTGATGTCACGCAACAGGACCCGCTGTGGGAGGGAGGAGGCCCCTGGTCTAGCTGCAGGAATTTGGGATGGGGGCGTCATCGTGTGGAAAAACATCGCATTACACATTTTTAGTTGTTCCCTGTAAAATTATGCTGACCCCCAGCAGCTCACCCATACATTGCACTATAACTGTGATTGTGTGCTAATTTTAAAAAACTTACATACAATCTATCATGCATGTTTAGTATACAATACAACTGTAATATGGGGTATTTTATGGGTGAATATCAATACCAGCCACTGATCAGATTAATTTCCCTCTTGCTTAGTCATGCATTATATTCCATTTAAACCTGCCGCCTGTTTGTCTCTGATAATGTGCTTTTCAAACTGTCCCTAAAGATCTTATGTTGCATTTATGACTATGTCTTATGGATTACTTGCTTACACACACACTGCTGCTGGTGTTTGCCTTGGCTGGGTACGTTCCTTCCCGTTTGAAACATTTTCTCACAGCCATAGCGGGTTCACCAATTTTTGCCAGTCCCTGTAGGTTCACTGACCAGCAGAGTGGCCATCTAACCATCTCATATCTGCTTATGTGAAAGACAAATATTTGCTATCAGGTTAAATAAACCAGATCTACCATCCCCTGAAACCTCAGGACACTTAGTTCGAGCCCATTGAAAACCTCCATCATTTAAATAGCAAAGAGTGAGAGCTTTTAGCTGTCGATGACATAATTTCATTCAAATAATGCAGCCTCTCTGTCTAGCAGAACCACCCATGAAGGACACACAGTGTTACACTTACTGGAAATCAACAGATCATTTGACCCAGTTAGGATATTGCATCATTTTGGTGATTCTGGATCTGCAGGTCACACAGTTTCAATTTCTTTAAGTGGACAATCAAACAGTCCTCCTTGTTATTTGACATTATTGCTGTAATGTTGTTTCTCTGCTTCATTAGAGCCGTCAAATGGTTTAAGTACTGTTCCCCTCAAAGCTTTCATTGTTTATGAGTTTATCACGCTTCATATCTGCTGCTAGCTCTTGTACCAAATCAAGGTTATTGATCATCTCTAAGTAAATATGTAGGAGTTAAGACCTTTGTACTCAATCAATAGGAGCTTACACTGGCATCTGATTGGAGCGCGCTATCATGCGCCCATTACCCAGCAGCCCTTATGTTGGCCTTGTAACCTCCCACCCAGATACAGGGGATATTGAGGAGACGCCACTTTCAAGAAGATGGCTCCAACTTTGGCTTTGTTGCTCCTCTGCCAAGTAGCTTTATACACAACTGTAACATCTAAGAAAGGTAAAAAAAAATGTTTTAAAAATGGAACAGGAGATTTGCTTTATTTGTATTTGAGCCTGAAAATATTTTTTTGGGCTGATTGGCAATGTGCTGCAAGTATTCCTGTGTGACTTGCTGTCAGTCACTGTCCTTTTTTGTTTGCATGTTTCTGTCTTATCCACATGATGATTGACGGTGTTAAATCAAAAGAAAAGTGTGCACAACTTTTACAACAATTCACAACGTTCTAATCTACACAATGAATTATGAATTGTTGAATACTGTGGCTGTCAAAAGAATTTAGCTGCAGAATGTAAACATTATTGCTGTGACTAATACAGTACATTTTTGTCCAATTATGTCTTCAACTAGTGTGTGGCCAACCACCTGTCACTGACGGGATTGATGAGTCGACCCTAAAACGTGTGTATGAGGTCGGAGAAGAGGTGACTCTCACATGTGAACAGGGCTACTTACCTTCGACTGCAGCCTCTCAGCGGATAACCTGCACCGCCACAGGAGAGTGGACGCAGTCAAACCTGGCATGTTCCCGTGAGTTGAGACTGTAGCTTGAGACAGTGAAACAGCTGTAATTCTTATATTGTTATAACCACCTAAAAGTAGAACGTGTGAGTAAGGTGAGAGAAAATAAATAAAAAAATTAAATAAAATATATGGTGATTCTGCTGACCTTTGAAACAAATCACATAAAGTTTCCCACAATCCCCAGAGAAATCATTGCATTGTGTTGGATGGTTTACTTTATTCCATGATACCTGGCTTCCCCTGTTTTCCTGTCACATGATGAGGTTCCAAAGGCTGTATTATCTTATATTTCCGTAGCTAAGATGTGCCCAATCCCCAGACCTCTGCAGCCTTTAGCAAAGGGGAGGACAGAAGCTCCATTCAAGAGCGTGCTTAACTTCACTTGTGACGATGGGTAAGGCTGAGTGAATGACAGTAATATTCACCTTGCAGTTCCAAACAGATCATTACAAGATGTGTGTTACAGTGATATACTGTGTCAGAATGATATGAACTTCTGTTCATCAGGTATGTCATGCAAGGCGCCAATGAAAGCACGTGTTTACATGACGGCCGCTGGAGCAATCCACCACCCCTCTGCAAAGGTACTGGAGGAAAATATACAGTACATAACGGAAGTGGGAAATAGACTCTGTCAGTGGTCAAACACAACACAACACATTATGTAAAGTGAAAAAACATCTGTTAACATTTTTTGATCTAATTAGGAAGCTGTTCTATTTTTTATCAATGCAACTGCCTTTGCTCCATTATGTTACTGTATATTTGTATTCATTAAGTTTTTATTTTGACCAGAAATCTCCTTGTTCATCATAAGCAAAAGACAGAGTATGTCTGTCTTCTAAACTGATATGTGAAATTGTATAGTAAAGATGTTGCTCATTATGTTACCTAGTGTTTAAGAGGTTTTCAATCAACTGTATGATCTTTATTTGGTGCCTGCAATTTGTGGCGTTGGTGAACTGCGTTGTGTTAGGTTGACTGGTGTTACTATCATTTTGTCCACCCCATTCAAATCAGCTACGATAGGCTAAACAGTTCAACAGCGGCATGCAGTTGAATCACTTCCTCTCTGGAACAAAAACTGAGGATTAATTGCAGGACTGGTGAAGCAGACTGCATTAGTTTTAACTGGTTGTAAACTGACAGCTGAGTGTAGGTTCAGTGTGGATTTTGCGTTCTAAAAAGCTGACAGAGTAGGATTCAAAGTTTTCAGAGTTAATGCCAGTGCTTTTTGGCCTTACAGCTGTGAACTGTCCTCTGCCCAAGCCACCAAGAGATGGAAGAATTGTCCATGATAAGCCAGTTTCTGGACCCACCACCATGTATGGGCAGGGCTGGACATACGAGTGTAACCCGCCTAAAGCACCAAGTCACGAGAGGGGATCCTGCATGGCTGATGGAAGCGCAACTGAGCCACCAGTGTGCCGAGGTACACGGAAGATGTCAATATTTTCAATATTCTTTAACCATCTCCCCCCCTTTAATCCATTTCTCTACTCCACAACTAATTATGGGCCAAATCTGAGAGACCATATGTGACACAGTTTAAACAGTCTGTCAGCAGTTTTAAAATGTTTTCTCTCATTTTCTTTCTGAGACAGCCAAACTGTGCAATTGTAACCACTACATAATACCTCCTGTTTTTGATCATCGCAGATGTGAGCTGCTCCATTCCAACAAATATACCAAACGGCTTCATCACCTTTGCTGTGATGAGACAACATGGATACAAGGAGAAGGTTAAATACGCCTGCAACGAGCACTATATTCTGGACGGTGAGGCTGAGGTACAGTGCCAAAACACGGGGAACTGGTCTTCCAAGCCAGTCTGCAGAGGTGAGTCATGGGAAAATTAGATCTTAAAAGCTCCCCTCAGGCTGAATTTGTTGTATTTATCTTTGAGTCTGGATTCAGTTCTGCAGCAGTCAGTTAGTTAACCAAAGGTGTCCAGATATGCTCAGATTGTGCTTTGCAAGCTGGCAGTCTCCAGGCCCCGAATTCCTCTCAATTTCAAATTCAAATGAGCTTCGAACTAATAGTTTTATAACCATCTGCTGTAACTGCATTTTTTTCCACCCAGCTCCCTGCACAGTTGGAATCAAAAGAGGCCGTATTTTCTACAATGCCAGGAAGCTCTGGATCGCAGACCTGAAACCCAACAGAGTCCTCCACGGAGAACATGTCGCCTTCTATTGTCTGAACCGAGCTGAGAGGTGTGGCTATCCTGTGGCCAGCACCTGTAATGATGGAACCCTCCCCATCCCAGAGTGCTTTGAGGGTAAGTTCTTGCCAGCTCGATCAATATAGTGGTCTAAGACTGACCAGTGCACAACTTCCCAAAGATTGCTTTCAACGGAGAGGATGTGTTTTAAACGTAGACACCATACTGTAAGTACGTGTACAGATGTAAAGCTTACACATCTATACCTGTACATTTTCAGGGGAAGTAGTCTATATACTAGATCTACAGTGTTATAGCTATTTCAAAACAGCTTGACCCACTGTCTGCATGCTTTTACTAGTAGCGATACAGTACTATTGTTTTTCCTAAAAAAAAAAAAAAAATGTTATGTAATCAGTCTGTCAGATGGTTTACAGATGTCTTTGGAAAAGCCCATGACGTTTCTATGCAGTAATATTAAATATTTTGTGACTACAGTAATATATCTCCCTCTCTTCTTCCTGCTTTTAGAACCAGGCAAGGTGGAGTACACCTTAAGGGCCAAAACTCTTCCATCAGAAATCACAATGTGTGCTGCTTCACCTCCTGCAGGCCCCGCAAGCCCCGCAAGCCCCCCAAGATCTGCATAACTTTTCACAGAATGAGCTGAAGCACCATGTACACTTACAGGATACGAATCTCTGTATCATGTCTAATAAATCTGTAACAATATGCTGCAAGACAGAGAACACCTTTGTTATTGGTTATCTTCATCTTTCATTTTGAATGTCACTTACAACTTATAACAAAGTAATAGTTGTAATTGTGGAGAAAATTATGAAAATTAGTTTTCAGAAAAATAGTGCTGTGGGACCTGAGAGAGTCGATGACTTGAAGAGCTTGTGTACATACATACAGCCGGTACCCAGATTACCATTAAAACTCGTTTTAGATTTTAAATCATTTAATGCCGACATTCTATCCACAAATAATTCAAACTGTTTTACGGATTGAAAAACTAATTAAAAGCTTCATTAAACAAAAACTATCTTCAATTTATTTGTACATGGGGATCACGTAGGTGCAGGAATGCTGTGTTGTCAAATTTTGAATGATCTCTGTGAATTTGAATGGAAAAAAAGTTGTCTAGCGACCTGAAAAATCTTCCAGGTTGATCAAATGGAGACACGTCAGATAAACACCAATGTTTTATAGATGAGGAGCAAAGTCTTCAGTTAAATTCTGTAGATGACAGGTACATACAAATCGAACCTCAGTTGTGAGTATAGCTATTCCATTGGATGATATAAGTTTAACATTCAGTATAATTATGATGTATAGGATATTTTAGTGGATATTTACTACAACACATTGTTAAAATGATGTAAACACAAGTAAAATGAGGCTAAATACACAAGGTCTACAAAACACAAAATAAACAAATAAAGAATCATGTGTTTCTGTTTCATATGTTTATGGATGCTCTGAAAGGAAAGTGATTTTTTTTTTTTGTTGTTAAGATCAAGTCTTGTTTTTTTTTGTCTGTGAAAACAAGCCCTGAGAGGCAAGTGATCTGTTTCTTTTCTACAAAGAAATTTTTTTGTCAGGATCTCATCAGTGTTTGTTTTTGTAATACTGATTTTGGCTACAAGAGGGTGAAGTGCAGTCCAGGGGCTTGTTTTCACAGATGCAAAAAGCAAAAACTTCGAAGAAAAAAAAAACTGTGGGACCCACTTTCAGTAAAATGTCATAATCTGCTATTGCAAGCAGGAAGCAAAAAAACAGCCTACAAAACAAGGTTGTGCAGTTACTTCGTGCTGCTCTTATCTGTTTACTTTTAGAGGAGCACAAACAGTGACAGAGAGGACAGAGATTCAGTATTTCAACCAAAGACCACAGGAAAGAACCAAGGACTGTATGTACCTGGCCTAAGATGGAACGCATACAGACTTTGTTTCTGCTATGTCCATTTGTATTCTTTACCACCGTGACATCTGAGGACAATGGTATTTGCTAATATTACTGGTTTTCATTTGATATCATTTGGTCTGAACTGCATGTATGCGCATTTATTATTTCACTGTTCAATCTCAATATTTTACAAGATAGACTTTTGTTTAAGGCATCTGTGTAAGTAGAAATGATCATGTTTAGTTTTTGAATACAATACAGTCAATTATCTAATTTCATTTGGTGTTAGAAATGGTTTGTTACAATTCTGTTGTTCTGACAAGAAGCTGACAGAAAAAAGTGTCTCTTCTGCTCTGACTATATAAAATACTTTAACTTAGAAATAGAGTTTGATTTTAACTTTTAATGTTTATTCAAATTTTTCATGACAGAGTTTCTGTCAAATGTTGGCAAATCTCCAGGAGTTAAAAGGAAAAGTATCTGAAATGGGTGAACACTTAATTACAGGTGTCCCATGTCTCTTCAGATTAATCACAGTCACGCTGTTTAAATTCCGTTTACATCGCTCCAGGAGAAGTGGACTAAACACAAACCATTAAAATAGTGATGGAGTTGATTTTTCTTTATTAGCAGAAGAATTTTTCCCCTGGGAAAACAGCATAATCATATGATAACTTGACTGTTGAGTGCAAATACAGTGCATCACTCTCGCGCGCGCACACACACACACACACACACGCGCGCACACACACACACACACACACACACACACACACACACACACACACACACACACACACACACACACACACACACACACACACACACACACACACACATCGCAATTATTATCATTATTATTATTATTATTAAATCAATGTGTCCTTGCAGTGTGTTCTAGGCCTGATCTGGGTGGCAACATTAAGATGGATGGGATCCAGAGATACTTTAACCCCGGAGCAGAGTTGGCACTGTCCTGTAAACAGGGATACACCCCTCAGTCAGGCCCTCGGAAGATTGTTTGTGGTGCAAGTGGAAAATGGACAACAACCCAATTATTGTGCATACGTAAGTCTCCATTATTCTAGTGAGAACTGAAGGTCTTGTGACAGAACATCTTGTATGGCCGATTTATAAATCTATGTTTATTCTATGTTTTATTGTATTTCACCTGTTGATGCAACATGGGAAAAAATGCACTGCTGTAGGAGATTTTAGGAAGAATATTTATCAAGCATGTGAATCATTGTGAAACATTTCTACCACATTCTGATTACTGTACTCTTTGATTATTTCTGTTATAAATGTATAGGTAATCACAATTTACAAATATTTGGTAGATTTCTCTTTCATGCTATGATATATGAATGTGCATATTCAGCCCTAAAGAATAAGTTATTAGTTCTCTGTTGATTGGCAAAATAAAAAACAGAACACATTGTGTAGATAGTCTGCACAATGAGATCACAGCTTGGCTTGATTAAGGTTGTATGTAACTACAGCAGGTACAGCACACATGTAGTTCTATGTTTTGATTATTCATAAAAACTGAATTGCAAAACCGTCTATTTACACATGTGAACTCGACTGTATTCTCTCCTGCAGCAATGCGGTGTCCCTATCCTGAGTCACTGCAATACGGAGATTTGAACTATGAGGATACTGTGTACCAGAGTACCATCAACTACACTTGTTATGCAGGGTAACGCGAGAACTTCTAGTTGAATTTTACTGTGTGCTATCTTTCATAACTTTGGGGATAATCCGCTGATAAAACTGGATAAGCAGATGCAGACGCGGCTGTTTGTGTCTGAAGTGCAGTTTGAGGCCAGATTTTGTCATTTGTTCTTTTTGTCATGTTTGAGTTTCTTACAAATATTGGGTGTGCAAATTAAGGACCTCTAATCAGCTACATAGTTCTCTCTACTTGACAAATTATTGCTAGTGTCATTTATTATATATTGGTCATTTAAGCAATGACAGAACTATCTAGTGAAAAGAGATGACTTTATTGACAGTTATACTAATCATACATTAGTTAAGGTGACCAATAAACCAAACAAAGAATAAACTTTCAACCTCTTTTGTGTACATCTGATTTTTTATTTTATTTTCCTCTGATCTACCAACATTCGGCTTCAAATGCATTCAACCTCGTTTGAATCCATTGTCAAGTATGTTTTGTGAATATCTTTGCAAACCAAGCATGAACTGACTTAATGATACGGCTGCTCTGCACAGGTATATCTTGACTGGAGCCAGTACTACTGTGTGCCAAGCCAATGGAACATGGAGTGCACCAGTACCGGTGTGCAGGCGTATGTAATCCACTGCAATCAAAAATAATAAATACATAAAAAAGGAAGCAGAATACAATCAAATATATAGTTACTCTCATACAAAATTTTCCTGTGATCTTTGAAGACATTATTAAGTGCAAAAAACGTTTGCACTTGTTATTCAAAAATAGAACACAACAAAGCTATCACTCATAGACAAAAAAACAATCACATACAGTACAAGCATGTACTGTATAAGCCAATACATATAAAGTTGCATATTCTCTCTCCTCTCTTGTAGCTGTGACATGTGGTCTTGCTCCAATCCCAGAGTTTGGGGTAATAATCTATGATAGGAAGATAAGAGGGAACACCGCTGAGTACGGCGTCAGAGTGACATACAAGTGCTTGCCTCCACATGCACTCTTTGGCAATGAAAAAGCAGAGTGCACTGCCAGTGGCACCTGGACCAAGACGCCTGAATGTCGAGGTATGAAATACCCACTTGCAAGACGTATTTACTGTTCAGACCGAAACATGTCCAACACACTGTTGGCGACATTTCTGATTGTCAGACAATTCTGTGTTTCACGTTTCACTATTGATCTTAGTATCAGCAGATGAGAAAACAATCTCAGCACAAGGTCCACATGTAGTTTGCCCAGATTTCATGGAATTGTAAATGTTCAAACTTCTCAATTTTTTTCTGACACAAAATTACACACACCACACATATAAGACAACGGAGATAATCATATATACAGCAGGAATTCGCCTCTCTAATTCCATCCAAGCTTTCTGGACACTTTTTGCTCTTTAAAGAGTATGAAAATAATCAATGAGATGTGTGTGGGAGTCCAGTGGACTGCTAGAGGCTTTTTGTTTTGGCCCAAAGATACATATTTTTTTAAGACCATGATAAGTTCAGTGCAGATACATCATTTCAGTAAAGTACAGTTGGGAAACTAAGAAGTTGTCCTTGATATTAGATATGGTCTTGCTAACTGTTTATCTAAAATAAAGAAACTTCAGGCCAACCCAAAACCATGTGATAAGCTGTCCCAGTTCACCAAAGCAAACATTTCATTTGCTATACTGAAGACTGAGTATGATCTGTGAATAAAATCGCAGTACACTGTTGCTAATGAGATTTTTGGTAGTTTGACATGCATTTGATGGAGGTATTCAAACGTACTCCATCTTCACAATCCTCAAGTATTGGTTTGGGTAGATGAATTTAATAATCATCATTTGTATGTCCTTTTGGAAAATACTGTATGAGATCTCAAAAGGTTGTTCTGTATGCCATTCGGGGGTTAAAGGCAAGTCTCTACTGTGTATACAGAAAAAAACAAGACAAAACAATCTGTAAAAAAAAAGAAAGTCTGGCTGGATATCTCACTCTACAGTGGGAACACTTTCCTCCAGTTAGAAGGCCATTATTATGCAGCAGTGGGAGCTGAGAAGGATAACATATTATAATAATTTAGATTAAATTGAACCACATTTGGTTCAAGGGAAATAGTCCAATACACTTCAACCAGCAACACTGTGGGATAATTAGCACCCAAGTGGTACCAACAGAAAAACGACACATACTTTTCTTCAGCAGTCTCTCTAATGAATGAACTGCATTTGTTCTTTTACAGAGGTGACATGCCGTCCACCGGAGAACATTGACCACGGCTACATGTCAAACAGTGACCAGAGAGACTATGATTTCACGGAAACAATTAGATATGGCTGCGAAGGAGACTATGTACTGGAGGGAAACATGCAGATTGTTTGTCAGAAGAATGGGAAATGGTCTGAAAAGCCGTCCTGCAAGGGTAGGACTACAACCAACATTACAGTCATTGTCTTTTTACATTACATGTTTTGGTGATAGCTGCATTTCTTGGATGATTTTGAGAGGGCAAAGACAATCAGCTGTTTTTTTTTGTTTTGTTTTGTTTTTAGAGTTTAGCTTTACAGAAACGAGTGGCATAGGAGAGGAATTTTCTTCATGTTTCTCAGTTTGAATTAATGTATTCCTGTTTCAAATATTTCCTGTGACTTTAGTTGGTGCTACTCAGGTCCCAAACCGTTAATTTTACTTGCATTTTTATTTCAATCCCATGAGTCATTTTTTGCCTGTGTTGACTGTTACAGTCTAAATATGACAGACAGTGCTTTTGATTGTTCTAAGGTTTCTGCATTTGACCTGCACTGAAGACAGATCTATATAACTACTTATTTTAGTAACAATATGTTGACTAAATAATCAAACACCCAGACCCTGTGCTGAATTAGCTCTAGCATAGTAAAATAACCAGTCAGATACCAACTGATTTAAGCATGGGGACCTGAGTTTAGCATTAATGTCAGCTGATCTGCTTTCAATATTACTGCTTCATAAAACAATACACTATTTCTCAAGTATAACATTTTTTTCCTACTCCTTGTGACTTATAGCTCCTTGCAGCTTTCACATACAGAGAGGAAGGATATTATACAAAGAACGAAAACTCTGGATCAAAGACCTGCAACCCAACAGAGTCTTACACGGACAGATTGTCTCACTCTACTGCATGGACAAAGCCAGGAAGTGTGGTTATGCAGTGACAACCCAGTGCATGAATGGAAATCTCGAAATACCTGAATGCTTTGAAGGTAAGGTCTGTCTAATTAAAGAGCAAAATATAGCATAAAAGCAGCTTATTCTATTTTATTTGCATATGTATGTACATTTGTCACCTCTTACTATCCTCCCTCAACGCCACATAGTCTAAGGTGGCTGTTTTCTCAAGATGACTAACAGGGCATAATTCTCAAGAGCTGTTCCGTGGATGATAAACTAGAGGTTGTTTAATTGTTGAATGTCAAATCACATAGTTCATAGTTTGTCCCTGTGGAAAACCCTTGTAGTATTAGTGATCTGTACTTTTATACTGTACTATTATAGAAAAAGCACATACTCTAACCTCTTCTCTGTATTTGTGTCTGTCTGTCTGTCTGTCTCTCTCTCTCTCTCTCTCTCTCTCTCTCTCTCTCTCTCTCTCTCTCTCTCTCTCTCTCTCTCTCTCTCTCTCTCTCTCTCTCTCTCTCTCTCTCTCTCTCTCTCTCTCTCTCTCTCTCTCTCTCTCTCTCTCTCTCTCTCTCTCTCTCTCTCTCTCTCTCTCTCTCTCTCTCTCTCTCTCTCTCTCTCTCTCTCTCTCTCTCTCTCTCTCTCTCTCTCTCTCTCTCTCTCTCTCTCTCTCTCTCTCTCTCTCTCTCTCTCTCTCTCTCTCTCTCTCTCTCTCTCTCTCTCTCTCTCTCTCTCTCTCTCTCTCTCTCTCTCTCTCTCTTTCTAGAGCCCAGTGTGGATGATTATCAGTCACAGCCTAGTTCGCTTCCATCAGAAATCAACCAGTGCTGAGGCAGCAGCAGATCCCTTCTCTGATGACTATGACACCACCGTATTGTCGGTGTGTTCTGGTCTCTAAGATTAAAGAATGTGGTTTAACTCAAGCTGTAACATTTCAGAAATGATTTTATCTGACTCAGTCCTGATTAACAAAATGTGCTATAACATTACTTCACCTTTCAAAATGTGAATTAACATATGATCTACAATGCAGTTATGAAGAGTTTACATGGGTTACTATGGTCTGTCACACTCATTTCTCTTAAATCTCCTGTGTTGCCCTGCACCAAAATGAAGATATCCTGAGTTACGACAGCACAGTAGTCATAACCTGCCACCAACTTGTGCTGGGCTCCATAAAAACAAACAAACCCTCCTCTATATTGACTGTAGCAGAACCTAAAGAGGTCCATTGTGTGTCAGCCCTCTGACAGGAAACATGAGTTGTTTTTATCCAAGCTTACAATCATTATATCTTGATCTATATTATCTAGCAATTTGGACACTAATCAACAGCCATGACAAAATCTCAAAAATAATGCAACAAGCAGATATGTATTGTTCAGACCAATGCCCAATATCACAATCCTGTAAACTAGGGCTGCACAATTAATCGAAATATAATCACAATGAAATGTGAAATCACAATATCGCCAAGTGCAATATCCAAATTGCAGGAGCTGCAAAACAAAATATGGACATTTGTTAGACTATTTGTGATGTGCAAAAGCTTTGTTTCTAGAAGTGTATAATTCAGGACATGTTACAAATTGTTCACTCTACAGGACATTTATTTGGCTTTGGTTTGGATTAACGTATAATTCTCTTCATTAAAAGGTATATTGTAAATGTTTGTGAAGATTCCGTAGTTTCCAAATACACACGATAAATCAGGATGAAGTTTGGGGAATTCTTGAATTATGCAGCTTTGAAATAACATGAAGTTGCATTTCTGAATATTTCACTCAGTGTAAACCTCATATATTTACATATAAGTAGAGCTGGAATACCTGATACGGATACAGCAACAGTGTGCTGTAAGACTTTCTTAAAACATCCTCATATTGTAAGAGCAGTAAGCAACGTGGTTCCGGGTGGCATTCGTCTGTTCTCGCGATATCCTACATGCCCCACTTTCTTCTCGTCCAGCATGGCCGCGCTGTATGAGGGTTACACGTTGTGCGGACTTGTTCCAGCACAAAATCTGTCAAATTCAGGCATTCAGGGCATCGAACAGGAGAGAGACAGTGATCATGTCATCGTCACGGACTCAACTAGATCCGTTACACTGTACAAGGTAAGTTTTGGCGTTTGTTTTGATGAGGCTCTCTTAGCCTGGGCCAGCTGATCAGTGCGACCTGTAAAACTCGTGCTGGCATCATCAGCTCTTTTCAGCAACAGCGACAGAAACCATAGACAAGGAGTACTTTATAGCTGTGATAGTACTATGACTCCCTTTCCGTGATAATCTTCATGTAGGGTCGCACAGTGTGGAGTAATCCCATGCTAGTTTACAAAACACGCAAGGTATGTTAGCTAACGTTAGCTACATCCACCGCAAGGCATATTGCTAAAAGTGACTTCTATTCAGCAGGCTCAGTGTGCATCTAGCTAATGTCCTGCAAACATCAATGTAACCTATCAGAGCTGGTTTTTCAAGTACTTCTTCCATTATCCTAACGTGAATGACAGTAGTGAACAGTTTGGACCGGCTAAAAACATTCAAGTTACAGCTTTGTGTGGTTCAGATTAGGCAGCTACAAGATTACACTGCCAGATTTTTCTTTATTGAGTGTTTATAATGATTTTTACTTCAGGAACAAGAGTGGCGTTTACTTTAGGCCACAGTTTATCATGGTGGACTTTATGCCATTGTCAACATTGCTTAAATTTAGCAGTGTAGTTATAGGTAAAGGGAAACGTGATGATAAAACATGTGATACAGTTGGTAATACATTATTGGAGAGAGGAATGGTATTAATCGTTCCTCGCTTTTGTGGTTCTGGCAGGTGTCAGACCAGAAGCCGCTGGGCAGCTGGACTGTCAAACAAGGTCAGAGTCTGACCTGTGCAGCAGTCTTCAACCCACAAACCAAGGAATATGTGGTCATCTCAGACAACAAGGTAGACTTCTTCAGCCATTCTTGTGTTGTATGTATGTGTACAGACTTGCTGTCAGATTGCAATTGGCCAAAAATGAACCAACCGAGCTAGTTATTCTTCCTTTTTCATAAGTAAAGAAGGCAAATGCTGTCATCACTAAGTTTAATGCAAAAGCAATGACTATTGCTAACTGTGTTCTTGAGTTTACTACATTATTTTGCATGACTTCATTCCTCCATCCACTTGTTTACCAGATTTGCATTATCGGTTTTCCTCACCCACATTGTTAAACTGATTCTCCACTCAGCTGTAGTACTTTTTAAGGTTCAAACATTCTGATTCACAGTATGAGGTCGTACTTAAACATAAACAAATGTGGATTTTACTTAACTTTTTTTGGTTTTTGTTCTTGTCTTTAAGGTGATCAGAATTTGGAAGGAAGAAGACCTACTATTAGATAAGGCCTTCAAAGCAACTGTAAGTCTGAGCGTGGATGTTCATCTTCTGTGTCAGGAGACACGCACCAAGCGTGCTCCACATTTCTATTCACACTCTATAACGCTTTGCATCCATTCCACTTGAACATTTCCAAACTGCTGAATTTAGGTTACAGAAATTTGAGAGCAAAGTTTTCTTTCTTTCCACTGCTGGTGTGCTGCACGGTCCCATAATTGGCTGTGATAATTTAACATTCTAGACTACGGTGCTCCTTTCTTGTACAAACTCTCCTTAATCTAAGAATCATCCATAGTATTCAGTGTAACCAACCAAAAAATGTCATTATAAGTGCCCTCACTGATTGTTGATCATTCCTGCCTTTTATGTGTATAATCTCTCCAGGTGTTATCGGATATCTGGAGGGTCCAGTGTGTACATGGAGGGGAGCCTGTGGTCTTGTTCCAGAGAGGAGCTGTGAGATTGCTGGACTCTCTGCTTTCTGCTCCCCAGCAGCCCATAGAGGAATTCCTGGCTCCAGAAGAGGCCATCAGGTCAGTATCATTACCTGCATTACACCCCCAGTGAATCCCTTTTGTTACAACCTTCAGAGCAAAGTTCAGAACCCGGTGCCCCCCCCCCCAATGTCCCCCAATGTTGCTAATGAGTCTTCTTTTTTGTCTTCAGGTGGAGTACCAACATAGTGGCAGAGGCACAACAGTTTGTCATCTTCACAACTGAACAGGTAACATACTTTTAAATATTTGGCTCTCGACTTAAGACACAAAAACTGATAATCCGGTTCAATTAATTCAGTTGAGTGTTTATTGGACTTGTATCACAATACAAAGCCATAGGGACAGTTAATTCAGTGGCATACTCATGTGCCTGCATGGAAATGCAGGTGAGTGACATCAAAAAATAATTTTCTCCATTCTTGTTCCCCATTGGCTTCAGCATAAACTCTTAGTTATTGGTATTTCTAAATGCCTATTTGCCTTGAACGGCTGTCACTGTCTTCCCACAGAAAGGAGATCATTTCATCTACCTGCAGAGACTGAACCCTAACACCCTACAGAGGTACCGGCTGGAGAGAGAAGAGCCTGGTCTGGCCCCGCTCAGCTTCTCTGTCTCCTACAGGGATAAACACATCCGCCTGCTTTATCTCTGTAAGCCTGAATTTCCTGTGAAAATATTTTTAGTGTCAGTGTTTGACAGCACAGGCTCGTTTCATGGACTCAGGAATGAAAAAGGGTTCAAAACAGTGGGTGACAAGATTTTTTCCAATAGAAATGAAACCAATTGCTGACAGTGCTAGCCGATGACGGTAAATTCGCTACTCTGTATGTAGGAGGTTTGTAATAAAGAAAGACACATGCGACAAGAGTTTTCTCCAAAACCCGATTTGTGCCTTTCCAAGTTTATAGTGCGTAGATATGGTTTCCACACTGTTACTGCTAATGGAGATCAGCCTTGCAGAAGGCATCACTGCAGAGAGAAGTGAATGATCCTGGTTCAGCGTGTTATTATCCGCAGACATTGACATGCGTACTAATAGCCACTAGGGGCAGAAAGGCCAGCAGCAAGTCGGTGGCTGTATGGAAAAAGTGAAATTACTTTACAAATCCATAAAGTGTTTCACACAAAAAATCAGTGATGTGTTGTGGTTTTGCTCACACAGAGTTTAATGTACCTCGTTGTGCAGTCAGTGATGTTTTAATTAAATGACGCACTCTAAACTTAGGATCACAAAGTGTTAAGGTTTGTTTTTGCTCATACACTGTGCTGCACAAGATGATACATGCATGATAAGTGGGAGTGTCATTATTAACTCCCTCTAGTCTCTTCCCTCAATAATCCTTTTCACTTTCTCTGCCTCAACATTTTCCTTCCACCAAGACCCAAACGGTCATGTGTACCAGAGTGTAGTCTCTGTGCGGGGCCTGGGGACCGAAGAGGGGACTCAGGCCCTTCCGCTTCCCCGTAGCCTGATGCTGGCTCTTCCTGTCGGCGACGGCCTTCTGGAGACAGCATCAGCCCTGGTCCTGGATGAAGCCCATGTAGCTGTTGTGGGAGTTCCACATCCCTCTGCTGGAGCTGGTAAAGGTAAATTCAGTTTATTTACCCTGCCTACAATAAAGACAGCAGGTCTCTCTACTCAGACATGTCTGTTCTGACGTTTTCAGATGTAATTAGCCTGAGCATCTGGATGGTTGGTTCGCTTCTCACTCCACTAAAAACACTATTTTAAGTATAACTGATCTTAATGAAGTCTGTCCGGGACACACAATGAGGCTTTCAGTAAACAGTCAGTTTAGATGTGTCCCAAAATAACAGTTCAATTTATTAAAACTTAAATTAAATGAACACAAGGCTACTACTCTAGTCTTCAACTGCAGTAATTTTAACAGGTGGACTATGTTTAAAGAATAAATGTATTAGAATGATAACTTGAAGCTATGTGACTCCAGTGTTTAATGTGAGTGTCTGTTAGTTCCTGAATGACTCTGTCTTTGTTTTTTTCAGACTTTCTCTGCATCTGGAATACCAATTTCCAGACGCTTCAGGCAGGAAAAGAGATGGCGGGTAAAATCTATGGGCAGGTAGGGATTCTTTGGTGTATTAAATTCAACTGATCCACCAAGCTGGTTGTTTTCTAATGTTTCGTTGTACGATGAGTGGATGAAACCTTACACTGATAATGATTTTCAGCCATGTTGGCAGCAGGGCCTTAAGAGCTCACACAGGACAATCGCCGGAGTGTTCATGAGCTTTTGTTGCTAATGTTAGAAGTATGCATGAACCGCGCACTTGGGCTCCGTTGTTGTTATTACTGCAGGCCAAGGTTCCCTGTCCTTCCAGCTGCTGGGTGCTGAAGGAGGACTGTATGACTTTGGTAGAGCATTGTGCCTGCACTCCACTGTGACAGGGTTCACTGTCCCTCCTCACAACTTTATGGCAGTTTACAATCTTGAAATAGTCACATAAATAGACTACCTGGGCAGTCTGTTATCTATATTATGTTTACTTACACTATGAATATTGATTTGTTTTCATTTTCCTTTCTCTCTGATGTAGCTATGGTGTTATTCCAACAAGTTATTCATTCCACATGGGAAAGCCCTCTCTGTTATACCGTTTGTTTGCCCTAAATCTTCCCTGGCCTCTGCACTGGGGAAACTAAGGCAGGCCAAGACTGAAGGTGAGCTAAGACCATTTTATGATACCGGGACTGTAATAATAATAATAATAACTTTTTACATCTGCAAAAAGCAAATGATATACACAGGACATGAACCTGTAACCTTTTAAAGCTGTATGCCTGATTTAGCATAAGTAATTAGTACAGTAACAATGTACTGTATAACACGTATTCATTCATGTGATCAGTTGTCCTTACTGAGGCTGCAGCACTAATACTCATGTCTGCATGGAAAAGTTTGTTTTCACTCAATACAGTGTCTTTTTTTCAACTACCACAGAGTCCAAATCTCCAGCTTGTGTACCATCTTGGAATAACATTCTGCACGGAGAGAAAGCTCAGCCCTCAAGAACTGTGGAGACCAGGAAGACGGTATGTTGCATAACTGTCTTTAAATGACTTTTCAAGGCAAATTACTTAGATACAGCGAGGCCAGATTTTTTTTTTTTTCTTTTTGCTGCATGAATTGCTAGTGCATCAACCCCACACTGTTGCCTTGAAAACTCACTTGCAGTGTTTTCTCAGGCCTACGGTGTGTATATAAAAACAACTTCTTTCATTATACTAATTAGCACGACCTTCAAGTGAAATTTACAGAAGTTGCTGCCTGAAATGGTGGTGCATCATTCACAAAATGTCGAAAGTTATGTAACTTGGCAAAAGAAAAATGTATAATACTACAACTGCTACAATAATACTACGTATTTTATTGTTTAGGATTTGTTACTTTATTTGTAGTTTTCTCTCTAATGGGAACCCATATGAATTTGACTCTTCTTTGCATCCAGAGAACAAACCGTAAGACCCAATCAACACCTTGTTTAACAACTGACCAAGTTCTGGCGCTCATCAAGGTAAAAAAGTTGATTTTTCATGGCTCTCTATAGCGGTATACTCAATCCGCACGCTTCCACATAACAAGGAAGACACATTCTGACATGTAATAATTAACATAATATTTTATTTTCCCAATGTAGACAGCACCAGTAGAAGATGTCCAAAAAGAAGTGGAGGGGCTTCTTTCCCGATCAGACATCCAGGACTTACAACCCTCTGTGGGACAGCTAGTATCAATCCTTGTGTCCCGGAGCCTGGCTGATCCAGCCTTCTACACCCCGAGCACCCTGGCACAACTCGTGAACACTCAGTGCCTCTGCCACAGGTCAGTAGGGCAAGAAATTAACTGAAAGACTAAAATGTTGTATCTCAAAACTGCTGTATTTACGCAGTCTGTATTCTGCAGCATGTATTTCTGTTGTAAATACCAAACCCTTGCATTTGAATGAAAATTCAAGGGTTGAAAATGTCGTAATTGAGTTGGTTTGCACTGCAATTGCTGTGATGTGTGAAACATGATTTGAATTACCCAAACCACACTGACAAGTAGCACATATCAACCATTATTATTTCTGTTGAATGTGACCATTTTACCATCATGATCTTCCACAGTGCGTGTCCTGACCTCGTGCTGTTGGCCCTGGAGAGGAAGGATTACTTTCTGTGTCAACTCTGCTTGCAGTTCTTCCCTGACATCCCTGAAGCTGTCACCTGTGCCTGTCTTAAGGCCTTCATCAGGTAAAATCAAAACTTTAATAATGATGTTAAATGATGGTTTGGTGAGCACTATAAATACAGGCATGAATTGATGTCTCTGCCACTGTCCTTTTGATATGACCACAGGGGGGCACTAAAGTAGTAATGTTTGGGGGGGGGGGGGGTTTCTGCAAATAGTGGCTTCAACAGGTGATTTAAATGTTTGGTTTGATGCAATCCATTTAACATCCTTCATATGATATAACAGAAGTGGTTTAGTGTTTTAATAATCTGATTATTAACTTGACTTGATGTAACATACAATGAAAAACTAACAGTCTGCTGGTCTACTTTCATCTTGCAGTATGCCAGACGTCGATGCAGAGAAAGCGAGCCTGGAACCCGACAGCGTCTCCTTCATGGAAACCCTAATCTCCAGGGAACGTGGCCCGGTTGGCTTGCAGAATGGTTTTAGCCCCAACTCCTTTGACGAGGACCGCTCAGACGCCCTCAGTGGAGGCGGTGCCGTCATAAAGGCCAGAGCGGAAAACAGGGAGAACACCTCAACTCCATCAGAACAGATCTGTCCAGTGGGCTTACACAAGGCGGTTCTTCTGTATCCTCCCAGTGCACAGTCACTCAAACACAGCATCTCACCATCCTGTCTATGAGGCAGCTACTCGCATTCAACTGTATGTTTGTCTTTCAGATATTTTTATACCTTGTATCGGGAGTTGCTGAACATTTTGTGTATTAGTAAAAAACCTAAAGACTAAAAAAGGTACAAAATATGAGATCTTAACTCAACCTGCAAAGAAATGAGGTCCTGCAGACGGCGTACAGCGATACTTTCCTCCTCCCACACCTAAAGGATCTCTCCTCCCAGCATGTTGTTGTAAGTAACAGAAAGTTTAGGTGTTGAGGTTGTTCATCAGGGGTAAACTATAGGTACAATTTACAGCTCTTAAGTCCTGATTCCTTATGCATCATGTCTGACTATCTAGGTCTGTTTTATCATTTTTATTCACATTAAAAAAAAAAAACTGATATGTAGATATAGTTAATTTCATGTTGCACGTCTAATGGTCTGTTCTTGGAATATTCTTGGTCAGTTATAGACCAGTGTTAATTGTCTTTCTCGTCCAATCAGCTTTTCCTCCGGTACCTGCAGTTCCTCTACCTAAAATATTCCCAAGATGCTTTCCCACAGAGGCATGGATTGAGATCACCAAGTCTGACTCAGGTATGTGTCAATGTCTAACTAGATAATTAGGGTGCCCACACTTGACATATCGGTGCAGGTAGTGTCTGTCCCAACAGGACACATTGTGACAGATCTGGAGGCAGAAAAAAAGTACTTTCTCACATTGCTGACAGATATGGTGGGGGTCAGACTTTTATTATAACTAGTTCACAGGTCAGTGTCAAGAGATGAGAGTTGTACGGAGATAGATTTAAAGAAATGCAGCCAGCGGAGACACAAAATATTTAAGTGTGATCATATTCGCCATTGTTTGTGTATTGTTTGTTATTGTTTTGTTGTATGCTGTAAAGCACATTGTGTCTGCCTTGTGCATGAAATGCGCTCTATAAATAAAATTTGAATTGAATTTGAATTGAATTAATTTTTAGTTTGTCCAACATTTTTATTATAAACTTCTCATATCTAACAAAAATGTAAAAGTACTGCCATCGTGATATTCATAATTTACTAAACTCCCAACAATAATAGCAGTAAAATATATTTTAAACTAATTGTTGTCCACGAAATAGCTCAGTTTGTCAGAAGAATTACATGTCTAACTCTGTTTTTCTTTGATTGTAGATCATGGATTGGGTGTGCTTGGTGTTGGACGCCCATTTCACAGTGCTAGTGATGACTCCGGACGCCAAAGGCTTACTGCTGAACCTCCACAGCTTTGTTAAGTCTCAGGTAACAGTCTCCCCATTGTCTGCTCTGTAACTGGCTGCATGTTGGTTTGATAATATTCATTCATTCGGTGTGGCTCTTGTTACTGTAGTTGTGTAGAGACAGTGTTTATAATGGCCAAACCAGTATTGAAGTTTTAGCAGAAAAAAAAATGTCACATGTAAAAAGTTACCTGGAAGAGAATTTAAAATAATTTGCTTTCCTGTGTCCTCAGGTGAGGCTGGTTTCTGAGCTTGGAAAGATCGAGGGCAGCCTCCAAGAGCTCAATAAGATGAAAGTGAAGAAGGACATCGGACAGTACTCCATTGAAGTCATTGAGCTGTTTTAGAATGTGTACAGAATACTTTTAATAAACCTTTGAGCATATTGTCTCCTCCCAGCGTTTCACCTTAATTGGTTTCAAGGTTGTTTACATGTCTCGACTGGTATTATAAGTGCTTTTTGGCACAGATGGTAGCCATCAGAACTCAAGTTGCATGAGTTTTACTGTTGGACGTTGAATTGACTTGCCGATGCTTTTGAACCGTTTTAAACTTGTTTAAGCTGATGGAAATTTGGCCATTCAGATAACATGAATTGCATGATTAATTTAGACTGCTTATATGTCAACCTGGTTAATAATGGGTTTGTAAAATACATGTAAAAGCAACCTAATAGAGCAGTGTGTTTATGGTTTTTAACATTCATAATGAGACTCAGCCTTTGAACACTTAACTGTGAGAGTGAATGGCTGTATTTCGTATTTGTCCTACAGCTGAATATTTGTAAGTCTGTCAGCTCTGACTGTACTGGATTTTCCACAGGAAAGCCTTTTTGTTTAATACAATTATATAACAATGGAAACTGTTGATCCGTGTGTGAATTTTATTTTTATTAAAAAGATCAATATCAAATAGAAGAGCATGACTCAGTGTTGGATGCATGGAATTAAGTGTTTTTTTTCTCCAAGTTTATAATTTGATGACAAAAGATGAATAATTCGTATTAATATTTTATTTGTGGTAGTGGTATTATTAGGTCTATGTACAAAACACTTTGAGTCGGTGAAATTCACCTAACTTTTGGAATAACAACTCCTCACTTACTACTACTTTATATACAGCCTATGCCTAATAAACACCTGATTCGGTATTTGAAAACCACCTGTACAGATTACCTACCTACACCTACACCTACACCTACACCTACATTTGGACTTTTCATTGAGAGGGTGATGAGGACAGCGGTATGGGCAAACATAAGTGTGTAATAGGCCCAGTAGAAATACACTACACGTGATGGCAGAGTTCATGCAAAAGCTTAAAGTGTTTTCTCGATGGGTGGTACGGTGACGTCTTTGCCGTTGTATAGCTGCCACAAAAACTATAGCTTTAGCTAATTATGCCATTATTTGGTGGCTGTTCACTTGGTGGTTGTTACAAATGTTTAACTCACCGTTGTAAAAGGTCCGTTGTCGGCAGGATTCGAACCTGCGCGGGGAGACCCCAATGGATTTCTAGTCCATCGCCTTAACCACTCGGCCACGACAACTGTACACATACACGAATGGGCCGACCAACAATAAACCTATTCTCAAATAAATCTTTAACAGTGGTTCATGTAATTGTTTTGCAATATCTGCTGAGGAAAAAAAAAACTTAATCTCCTGTTTAACCGGCTAACTAGTTACTCGGGCTGTGTTTTGTCTGTGGCTGAGATAGCCACCCAGGTTAAGAAGAGAAAAGCAAACAAAAGCTGAGACGAAAAAATGAATTTAAAATTTTACTTCTCTTCAGACATCAAGTCAAACCCAGAGCGTAAGACAACATAAATGCTAGAATCAAGGGTGTCGCGGGCCACCAGATCACGGTGCTGCACCTCTACTCTAGTCGATTACATGTTATTTTAGGTTACATTGTTTCAACAGATGATGGCACACTGTTTATTTCAGTTTGGTTAACCGAACTGACTGAACTGACTGAAAATTGAGCCAAGTTTTCTTCGTAATTATTAAGAAGAAAATAAGCCATGCAAAATGCGTTCGGCTAAGAAATAAACCGGAGTATTTTCCACATTCACGCATTTCCAAACCTTGTAATATGTGTACAGTTAACTTTTACGACGACTTGTTCATGTTCATGTAATAGTGCTCGATGTCGGACGTATGCTTATCTTCTCGCCTCGCATTACTGTGACGACGATGGCGACAGGGCCGACATGAACGATGGTGTTTCACTGAATAAACTTCATACACCTGTGATTAAAACCACCCAGCAGGATCAGCTAGCACTAATAAAATACTATTGGCGGACGGCGTTTGCATGGATAAGTAATTTTATGAGCTAGCACGGCAATTGAGTCTATTGTGGAATAGTGAGTCACGTGACCTCGCATCTACTCAGGCCTGTTAGTGTTAAGTTGGAGAATAAATCAGCACGTCCGGCTCTGTTACAGTGAATTCGTTAAAACGAAAACGTTTAGAATTTGTTTTTGGATTAATCAAACTGTGATGGTGAAAAAAAATGATATAATTGGATGTGATACTTAGGTTATGTTCTGTACACAACTGTATTTATTATTGTTCTGTTTTTTAAACGTTTCCCTTATTTTATTTTGAAGGATATGCACTATTCTTCCGGTATAATCACTCTATGTTTGTGTAGATTGACGCAGCTCTGGGGCCTGCTGTGTTTTCAACGGAGGGAGAGCCGAGAAGAAAAATGGCGTCTGCAGGCGACCCAGAGCGGGACACCGGCCATTCAGTTTGAGCTTTCCGCCCTGAAATTGAGACCGGGGCTTGGTGGGGACTTTCGGGAACCGTCACCAGATCCATTGGTTTTTTTGTACCCCGTTTTTCTCCGGTGTGTGTGCCTTACTCAAGCACCGAAATTGAAGCGGAACAGAAGAGACTCTCTCCTACAATGAGGGGGAGAAGAGGAAGGCCGCCCAAACAAGCAGCCGTGATGCGGGAAGGTTCACCCGGGCCAGTCCGCGGCTCTCGGGGCGGCAGGAATAGAGGGATGCGTGGACGGGGAAGAGGCAGAGGACGGGGTCGGGGACGGGGAGGAAGTGGCGGTGTTTGTGGCACTAGCTCAGCGGAGGTGGATACAGAAATCTCCGGCCGAGAGAACTTTCATTCGTCCCGGGGCCGCAGGAAAGTTGGAGGCTCCATCACGGCGGCGGCCGCGGCATCGCGGGGCAGAGGAGGCAGAGGGAGAGGCAGGGGGTCGAGAGGCGGCCGCGGCAGCAGAGGCGGAGTGAGGCGGCCTCAAACCAAGGTAGTCTACGACGACAACAGCGACGAGGAAGATGATAATTTAAGCTACAGGTCCGACGAAGATGAACTCCTGAACGACAACCCTTCGTCGGATCTTGAAGAAGAGGAGGCCTTGGGAAACGACTCTGACTATCTGGAGGAACTACCATATGATGATGATGCCAGCTACTGTACCGAGAGTAGTTTTAGGAGCCACAGCACGCTCGGTAGCACCCCAGGTACGTTCGTTTGCAAGTGCACGCACTTTAGCAAAGCATGTTTGCATTACTTAAAGTGTGCATTTTATTTTTAGCTCAGTACAGAAACCAAGCCGCATTGTTCAAAATGGAGCTTGCACTCAGAAACAGGCCTTTGTTTACCGTGTGCTCTGCTGGCCGCTGGCTTGCAGATCTGCTCCACGCTTCAACCGGCTTTCACGTTTTTAATTTTTGTCGGATCAGCACATTTTTTGTTGTCAATTTATAATGATTAATATGTGTTTTTTAACCGGAGTTTTTCCATGCGCGTGCCGTATTTGACGTGTTTTCTTACACATTGAGAAGCAAGATATATGGACTGCGTTTGCTACTTTCCATTCATTTCATTCATTCAGTATTTCTACTTATGCAAAAGCAGACTAAGTCCACTTTCTGTTATGTAAACTACGCTCCATCAAAACACCTCGTCTGTAAACATTGTTTCCAATTGGTCTCAGTTTGACAGTTCATAGTTTCCCCATAGCTGTAGTACTTAATTAAAGTGTTATCCGTTAAATAAATAATCATTGTTTTTTTTTGTACGATCAAGAGACCTACACATGTACCTTTTCAAACTGGATTTCAGAAGACATATTTCAGTTACATAATGCTGCTAAATGAGTTTGTCCAGGTCTTTGTTTTGAAGAGAGGCGCTCTTTTTTCACTTGTTGCAAACATGTCATTACAATATTACGTGGTGTACCGTTACCATAGTAACCCCTCTTATGTTTATCAGGTGAGCAAGTGAGATCCATCACATTCCCAGTGATGAACAGTCATTCTAATAATATTGGGTCTGCAAAAATCAATTGACACCTCCTGGTATGTAAAGTAATGCACTGGCAGTGTGCAAGCTACTGGAAGTAATTCTGGATAGGATTAGAAAAATTATTGTACAGGTAACCCAGACTAATGTACTTTTTCTTTGAAACAAAAGTTTAACTTTACTTAAAAAAACATTTCTTGCCTGTTACTTATATATATTATATATAAGTATATATAATATTATATATGCCCTATAACACTTCACAACACTGGTCAGGCCTAGTTGAAATTTAATTGGTTCAGGGATTACACACATACCTCTCAACTTCCATTGTCCAGGCTGTCTGCTTTTTCTAAAGACGTGTGAACATGGCAGTATGGTGCAGCTGAGTGTGAGGGGTCTTTCATAAGACCAATAGTGACAGACAGACATTACAGAGCTTTCGCTGTCATAGGCACATATATCCATGCTTTTTTCAAAGTGAACCCATGATCAACCCCTGGTTGACCTGTTCATACCATACTGCTGTCCCAGCCTAATCCTTGGCCTTCACCATTCATGATACAGCCATTTCTGCTGCTGTAGTCGCAACACTATCTCTGTGTATACATCACTGTTAAAACCACTGAATCATACTAGCCCGAATTCAAATACATCTGCTAAATGTTAATAACTTTATCAGCCATTAATGCATAAATGTTTACAGGGAAGATACATCATAGCAGGCAGTGTGGATGCAGTGGTGTAATTTTATACGATTTGTTTATTTGGTCTACTTATGAAAAGTTAATGCAGCAACCCACACTCTACAGTGATGTCACAGAATCTGTGAGATTGAGAAGAGCCCACGACAAAGCTAGCACACAGCAATATCTACAATATAATGCTAATTTTATAATGAGTAAATAGCAACAGTATACTAATAATATGATGATTATAGAAATGTTTCTTCATTCTTTCATAACAAAGCTGATCTGTGTCAGACAAGCACGTAACCCTGGTCAGGAGCAGGGTTGTTAGGCCAGGTCAGACGACCTGGATTGACTCCCCTCAATTCAACCACAAAAACAGGCTTGGCTTATTCAACATTACTATGTTCAGAAATGGATAATGTACACAGACACGCACAGTCCAGAAGGAATACACAGGTACAATACATATGCTGCAACATCTGCATATATTTCTCTTGCAGAAACAGAAGCAGGTTTATAAATCAATCTGGAGTATTTCTTATTGTCTTGGGACAGGAGTGTTCTTGTCTACTTTTTATAATGTCACTTCCACAGTGTCACAGTGTATTATAAATAGCCCCATTCACACAAGCACTATCTTGAGATTCCGCTATTCCAATAATTGTATGTAGTATTTGGAAGGAATAGGAATTCAAATTTAATTGGTATATTGTTATTGTATCCCATTTTAATAAGAAAGGGATTTGAAGCTTTGAGCTCCTCATACACATTGGTGGCACTTTGGGTTACCTCTTGAGGAATCACCAAGCTGGAAGAGGGAATCTAACCGGATTGTATTCTGAGTCTCCCCAGGGATACCCTCCCCGTGCCTGCATTGCTGAAGGCACTGTACTGTTGCAACATCAGAGAGCAGAGTTTAGTGAGACATCAA